GGTACTGACATTGGGGTTGAGGGGAAACTGAGAAAGATGGGATAAATTATGTATACTGCATTGAAATAGATGAGAGAGCGTACTGTTCAAAAGAGATATGTGAGTAGGTATTATTGTCATGACAGGGGTCCAGAAAGAAGGCTACATAGTGGAGTGGACTTGGGGAGAGGGATTATATAAACTTTCCTTAACCAGTGAACGTCATTATCCATCATGTTCATTTTATTATTATTTCTTGTGCATGTACCGTCAAATCAGGTCTGACTGGTACAGGAGGAAATTGTCGCTCCTTCTCCGGCAGAGCATCTGGTGGATTTGAACACCTCTGGGATTGCAGTACAGCTTCTTGCCACTAGGCCACCAGAGCTCCCATCATGTTCATTTGTGCCTGGTGTGGGCTTTGTAGTTTGATTTGGCTTGCGCGTCTGTATGGCCCAGGTCTCCAGAACAGGAGCCTCCAGAGCATTTACTGACCAGGTGAGTGAAGGTCGGCTTGGCCAGATGGTTCTCTCCCTGACAACACAGAGAAAAACCTATGATAAACATCAATGGTAGACAGAAGGGTCATGGGGTGGGGGGCGGCTAGAAGGCTAGCCCTCCAAGCCCTGGAGTCCTCTGAAGACCGGGTAGGTGACGCAGATGTGGACGCAGAATGAAACCTTTTTATTTTTTTAGGTCCCCTTTTTTGTGTTTCTTTTTTTTTTAAAAAAATATTTATTATGTATTACCGCCAAATCAGACCTGTTACAGGAGGAGATTGCCCTTCCTTTTGCAGCACGGCATCTGGTGGATTCGAACTGCACACCTCTGGGACTGCAGTGCAACTTCTTGCCACTAGGCCACCAGAGATCGCGGAAGCCCCCTTTTTGAGAGCATGGCGTCTTCCGGGGCTTAATTCCAAGTCGAACAGGTTTATCCTATAGAGGGTTAATCTTTGGAGGCAAGGATTCTGGGGCTTCGTCTGACATACTTTGGACATGTTGCCAGAAGGGACAGGTCCTTGGAGAAGGACATCTTGTTTGGGAGGGTGGAGGGACAGCGCAGGAGGGGAAGACCCTCTATGAGGAGGATTGATTCGGTGACTGGGGTATTCGGGGTAGGTGTGTCGGAGACAGTGAGATTGGCACAGGATACATTAGGGTTTAGGGCTGTTGTACACAGGGTCGACTCGATGGCACATAACAACAACTCAACATTTACTTTAGCGACATTAAAGACAGGAATCACAGAACTTTGTAAAGTACTGCTTCAAGTAGCCCAGTAAATGGACGGCTTCTGGGCTTATCATACTTGATAGTCGTTTTTTGGGGGAGAGGAGGGCACTTTTTCTACCAAACCTTGAGAGGACGCTGGAGAGACCTCAGCTTTTGTCCCTCAGGCAGTTGTTTCCCAATAACTGATTCCTATCCCTCATGCTGCAGTATTCAGCCTTTCCTCCGAGTCTGGATTTTCTTACCAGTAGACCCAGAACAGCACCTCTCCAAGGGTAAGGGGCCCCGTGGAACTTTCTTTTTTTTTCTCTATAATTATATTTTATTAATTTTCATAAACATTTACAGAGATTTTGGGTTTCCATTCATTCATTGTTGCACTATTCTCTCTACCCTCCTCCCAGTTTGTTCTTGTCCAAATGCCACAGTGCTTGTCAAAGCCAGTTCTGATTAATCTTCTTTGTCAGTGTGTCCTTTGCCATTCCCTATCACTCCTCCCTGAGAGAGACTTCACCCTGAGTCATAAGGAAAAGGGGATGGTGTATTCTCTTAGCTACTTCCTGCTGAAAAGGGACGCTGTGGGTTTCAGGGTGAAGATCTTCTCTCACTACTCTAAAGGGCCCCTTTGGCAGTAGGAAACACATAGACTATTATGGAGATTGATTTTGGAATTTAGATGCACTCTTATTGATTGTGCTTGGCCGTACATGTTCATATCCATGAAGATGTATCATGGGGGTGTTGCAACCTAGAAGACACAAATTTGACTAACAAGTTATAAGTACATGAGTCTAAAAGTATGGAAAAGTAAAAGAAAAGATTCTTTCATTGTTTTACAAACCCTCCCCCAGGTCCCCTCCACCATGTAGCCCTCGCTCTAGTCTCCTGTGATGACAGAAATACCTAGTTATATATCTCTTTTAAACAGTTTTCTCCCTCCTCTGTTTCAGTGCAGTATACATTATTGAACCCATCTTACTCAGTCTCTCCCCAACCCCAAGGACAGTCCCATTCTACAACAGTGGCATCATGTAATATTTGTCCTTTTGTGACTGGGATATTTCACTCAGCATAATGTTCTCCAGAGTCAACCATTTTGAATAATATTGCATGAGTTCCTTGTTTTTTAATGCAGCATAGTATTCCATTGTGCGAATATACCACAGCTTCTCTAGCCATTCGTTTGTTGATGGGCACTTAGGTTGTTTCCAACTCCTTGCTATTGTGAACAAAGCTGCAATAAACATGGGTGTGCATATATCTGCTTGGATGTCAGCTATGGTCTCTTCAGGGTATATTCCCAGTAGTGGAATTGCTGGGTCAAATGGTATCTCTATTTGCAACTTTTTGAGAAAGCGCCATACTGCTTTCCACAGGGGTTGCACCATTTTACACTCCCACCAACAGTGAATCAGGGTTCCAGTTTCTCCACAACCTCGCCAGCATTTGTTGCTTGCTGTTCTGTTAAATTTTGCTATTTTGACTGGGGTGAAATGATATCTCATAGTTGTTTTAATTTGCATCTCTCTTAGGGCTAGGGATTTTGAGCATTTCTTCATGTGTTTGTTAGCCATCTGAATGTCGTCTTCGGTGAAGTGCCTGTTCATATCCTGTGCCCATTTTTCTATTGGATTATTTACCTTTATCTTGTTGTGGTGCTCAAGTATTTCATAAATTCTGGATATAAGTCCCTTATCTGATATGTTATTACCGAATACTTTTTCCCAGTCAGTGGCTTCCCTTTTTACCCTGCTGGAGAAGTTTTTGGATGTGCATAGGGATTTGAGTCTTAGAAGATCCCATTCATCTATGTTATCTTCTCCTGGTTGTAGGTTCCCGTGGAACATTCGGGTCAGGGGTGGAAAGGTTATAAATTGCTTCTCGCCTTTCAGTTCCGGGACAGAAAACGCCCTCGAAAGAGCCAATGACCGTATGCCGCCTACCGCCGGAAGTCGCCGCTTCAGCGTCGGCCTCACGCCGGCGCACTGGAACTACAACTCCCGAAATGCTCCGCAGGCTGCCTAAATTAACCCTTCGGGGCCCGGTACTGCACTGTGCCCCGCCCCCTCCCTTTCCCTGGATCCTGCAGGGTGAGTCTTTGGGGTTTGGTTCAGGATTGTTTCTTTTCTTTAAGGTTGTGTGTGTAAGTGTGCATATGTATATGTGCGTATGTGTGTATCTGGTTCGGGTGTACAACCTGCGAGAGAAATTATTCCTGATTTTCTATAAAATGGGACAGTCTGCGGAGGTGAGCTTCAGCTACATTTTGCCATTAGGAGAGCCAGCAGCTACACTCCGTACCCTAGGCTCTAAGTAAAATCATTGATATTTTCCCTCAAATGCTGCCTAAATCATCCTCTTCTTTACTCCCTGGAACAAAAGCAGGCTGTAATCTTTCCTCCATTGCCCTCTCCAACTCCAACCCTTTTCTAGTGTCCTCTGCAAGGGGAACATACTTTGGGCGTATTGCCTGGAGGGACCAGTCCTTGGAGAGGGACATCATACTTGGAAGGGTGGAGGGATAGTGCAAGAGAGGAAGATCCTGGATGAGACGGATTGACTCAGTGACTGGAATAATGGGGGTAGGTGTGTCAGTGACAATGAAATTGGCTCAAGATAGAGCAGGATTCAGAGATGTTGAACATAGGGTCGCTATGAGTGGCAGGCGACTCAACGTCACATAACAACAGCCAGCAAGGTTTGTAACTTGGGCGTTTGATTCAGAGCTTTTATTACCCCTGCCCCAGTTTGGAGAGGTGAGTAGTCCTTGAGCCCATAGAATTCCCCTTCCATGTCCTCTGGATGAGGGGATTAGATTCTTTGCCTCCCCTTTCTTTTCCTCCTCCCGCTCCCAGCAGGTACCACCCAGCAGGTTCCACCCAGCAGGTTCACTAAACACCCCATCCTTTTTTTTTTCACCCTGTCCTTTTATTTTAATGGTCATGAGTGTGAGTAATGGAGATGGGTGTTAAATCTGACCTCTGTCCCCAGACCTAAAACAACACTGGGCTCTGCAGACTTTGAGGGGAGGGTGTCGCATCTCCTTTTCTGTTACTATTCTTTCTCTATATTGTGCACAGTCCAGTTCTGGGCTGGGCAGGGGGCCAGGGACTACAGGTGCTGGGGATTAGGCTGTGGGGTTAACTACCCTTTTTCATTATTCATAGTCAGAGGGGGTGGAAAAGTTGATTTTTCAATTTTGCTATCTGTAGATCCCGTAGATCCCACTTCAGCAAGGCTCTCCTCCTTTCCTCAGCCTTTAAGAGTCTAAAACTGCTAGGGGAGAAAGCTCTCCTCTGAGTTAGGGGCTGGAATGGCCAGATCTTTTTGCTTCATCCCTATCTCATTGTGCTGCTCTCTTTACGCTGGACGTTAACTCATGAGTCACATCAGGGTCAGTCTGGGGCTTCTTCTCCCAGCTCCCAGTGGCAATGTTTTTCCAGCTAACATTTAGGAAGTAGTGGAGAGAGGGGAGAAGACCTTGGGATAGGAGTTCTAAACCACAGGAGGTCAGAGGAGTGAGGGCAAACAGGCATCTCTCCTCTACCTCACTCTCAACAATGCCAACTGGCACTCTGCCGCTGCTACTGCCCCCGCCCCTTGACATCCCAGACTCCCTGGCTATTTAAACAGAGATGGGTGCCCCCATCGACACATTGTCCTTTGGCTATCGGACATCATGCCTCCCAAGAAAGATGTTCCTGTGAAGAAACCAGCGGGCCCTGCTACCTCAAAGCCCGTTGCGAAGCCAGCATCCGGGGCCCTTCCAGCCAAGGCCAAAGCTGAGCCAGCTGCCTCTCCAGCTCCTGAAAAACCCCAGGAACCCCCCCTTGATCTCTCCAAAGTGGTGGTGAGTCACCAGAAAGTAAGGGTACAATTTGGATAGGGTGGTATAAAGATAGAACACAACCTAGGGTATTAGAGAATATCCAGAAGGTAGAGCATTGATGAGATTGGGAATTCCCTTTAGTTCTCCATTTGGGAACATCCAGGTTTATGATTCTGTTGTCAGTGCTGTTTTGCTGTTTGCCCCCTCACCCATAGCATGTGTGTGTGTGTGTTTGCACAAACACACCCACCCATGTGCTACAAGTACTCACTGACTCACCTGTGTCAGTGGAGTCAGGAATTGTGAGCTGGGAAACATCTGGGTCTGAGGATGGCTTTTTCAAGGTGACTACAGGGAGATGCTGTCTGCCCCTGGCTGGCCATTCAACTCAAAAGCCATAGCTCGACCCAGGAGGGAAGGCTGGGGAGGACAGACTTGTTAGACAATCACAGCTGGGGGCCAGGGGTAAATTTAGCCTTTGTTCAGCCCCCAGTTATGTGAAGGATGCAAGGCTCAGGGCAGTAGAGGGAGGGGAACAGGTGGCATGGGATTAACCCTGTTCCCATGAAACCCTCCCCCTTATAATTCCTCCTCTTGGGATTCTCCCAAGGCCCAGAGCTGGGAATGGGACTGAGGTGGCTGTTCTCCCAGACTGGTCCCTTTGGGCCCCTCCTTAGAAGTAGCTGCCAGTTGGTTGGGAGGAGTACTAGAGAGGGATTTAATAAGCCCTGTCATCCCTCCTCACCTGCTCTTTTCTTCCACAGATCGAGTTTAACAAGGACCAACTGGAGGGTGAGGAGAAGCTGGTCCCCTAAACCCACTCTCTTGTCCCAAACCCCTATTCATATCTTCTTTCTATTCTAACCCAAGTCCTGACCTTGATGTTTCCCACACTAGTTTTCTTTGTGAGGTTAGCCCAGAGTTGCAGAACTTCCTTTCTGCTATGGATAATGGGAACTCCTGGTTAACAATGACCCATCTCTGTAACCTCAGAGTTCAAGGAAGCCTTTGAGCTGTTTGACCGAGTAGGTGATGGCAAGATCCTGTACAGTCAGTGTGGGGATGTGATGAGGGCCCTGGGCCAGAACCCCACCAACGCCGAAGTGCTTAAAGTCCTGGGGAACCCCAAGAGTGATGGTAAGGGGACCGTTGGAACAATGTGGGTTACCCATTTGGTGGTGGAACTCAAGAGTATTGGTAAGATTTAATGGATGTTCGGATGGGTCTCCGGACTACAAAAACACAAGGGGGCAGAAAAACATCTTGAAGTATTGAACATAATTCTGGAAATTTTCATGGTAGGGATGGGATTTGTGTCCTGAATGACACTGCAGTGACCTCCCCTTTACTTCCTTCTAACCCCAGAGTTAAAGTCCCGGCGTGTGGACTTTGAGACTTTCCTGCCCATGCTTCAGGCAGTGGCCAAGAACCGGGACCAAGGAACATATGAGGACTACTTGGAAGGGCTTCGGGTGTTTGACAAGGAGGGAAATGGCAAAGTCATGGGAGCAGAGCTCAGACATGTCCTCACTACGCTGGGTGAGGCAGGGACCAGAACTCCTGTGGGGTAGAGAGGATGGAGTTTGGCTTTGTGGGTAGAACCAGGGAAGGGGTTACTGTCTTCAGGTCATACATAGGCAGAGATTACTAGAAGAATCTGAAGGCTTTCCCTGCAGAGGCACAAGTGAGGGGGATACAAAGGGCAGAGGTAACGGGATGAGGTCAACTTGAGTTCCATTTTGGAAGAGCTACAAGTCTCTTAAAGGTCTGGAATTCAGTTTCCCCATTTGTCAGTTTTCACATAGAAAGCAGTTGCAGTAATACATGCAAGACATTATCATTATAAGAGCAGGGTGGCCTTGGGGGAGAAAGAGAGGTGCTTTGGGCAAGTTTCCAGGATGGGAGAAGAACCACCTGAAAGTGAGGTCTCAGTGAGGGAAGGAAGGCTGGGATGAGACGGTTGTGTGTGGAATTCAGGAGAGAAGATGACTGAGGAGGAGGTGGAGACTGTCCTGGCAGGACATGAGGACAGCAATGGCTGCATCAACTATGAAGGTGAGAGGCCAGAGGCTCAGAGAAGGGCCCAGGAGGAGGGGAACTTCCCTCTCACGATATGTGTGTGTGTGTGTGTGTGTGTGTGACTTGGGTCTGCGTTATCTAAAGTCTGAGTTTTTAAAAACATGTTTCTGAAGTCCATCTTGCCCCTTATCTCTGCAGCCTTCCTGAAACACATCCTAAGCGTCTGAACGCTGCAGGTAGGGGAACTCCCCCACCCCACTCCCTGCTCCCTGGAGAGGCAAGTCTTTCCTTCGCTCAGCCAGACCAGTGCAGCGGAGCGACTTTTCCTGGAGCGTTTCCGTATGAGCGTGGGGACCTGTCAGCTTTCATCTCTTCCTCAGCTCCCCTAGGGCCGGACAGAGGCCCCTTCCAGCACCTCACCCTACCCCACCCTGTGCAGGCGGAAGTACCCTTCGGCCACTTAGGAGGCAACCTATTGTTTCAAAATAAAGACAGTTCCTTCCTCAGCTTGCTTGTTGTTTTCTTCAGAGGTGGGACAAGTAGGGAAGTGGGGACTGCCTCTCTTTTCGCCAAATCGGAAACCCTTTGCGTTTTGCCCCCTCCGTTGGTGTGGCCTCCACTCCGTTCTGCGGTTGCTGGATCCCGGGAGGGTCCGCCCTGGATGAAAGCTCGGCCTCGGCTCCCGCCCATCTCATCGCCCATGTACCGCGGCACCGCCGAGGCTGCCTTTCTATTGGCTGAGTCCGCTGAGGGTGACGTCAGGGGATGTACTAAGGCTGGGTTGGGCCTGGAGTCGGAGCCATTACTGCAGGAACAGGTCCCGATACCTTAACGCTCAAGATGGTGGGGCCCGGGCCTGGCATGATGAGCGGGATTGGGGGCGAGAGGCGGGAAACCGGGAGAGGGGGCGAGAGGAGGGCAGGGAGCAGGGGCCTGGACGGACGGTAGGAGGGTTTGGAAAGTCTGGGGTTCTGACTACGAAACGCGTCCCCAGCATGGAAGAGGAGTTTGAGGTTCAGTTTGTGGGGCAGAAGCTGGGGGATTGGAGTTCAGGTGCTGACCGCTCCCCTTTTCTCTGAGTAGTGTGACTTCACCGAGGACCAGACCGCAGGTAAGTTCTCTCTGGCCCCTACTGAGGTCACCTTTAAGGAAAGGGACACTCTCTAACACATTCCCTTCTAGCGCCCCAAATGTCATCTCTTCAACATTCTCTAGGCCAGTACCCCTTGCTCTTTTCCATTCTCCATCTTCTTTTCTCATTCTTTCTTCCTCTCCTTCATTTCCACTCTAGATCTGAGCCCCAAGCACTGGGTGAGTTTTAGGTGTGTGTGAAACGTTTGGTCCTAATACCTGCTGTGTAGGGCATTTAGGGTGTATTGAGCTGCCTGTACTCCTCTATCCCTTAATTGGCTACCTCTGCATCTTCTCTCCTAACTGCCCCTCTGCCACAGCTGGGAATTGTAATGATGGTACAGAGCAACAATGATGTGTTATTTTGTGGAGTTAGTGGTAGGGGGGAGGTTGCTGGCTACCCTTTCTTTATGGGAAGGGTGGGAAGTGGCAGGCTAGGATGATCCCAGTCCCAGGCTGCTGTTTCCACTTCCTTATAAGGGCAGGGCCTAGACAGGGCGGTGGCAAATTCCTGCCCTGAGCTGTGTGTGAGGAGGCTGGGCCGTCATGCTGGAGGGATGTGTAAGAGGATGCTGCCCCTGCAAACTGAGAGCACGGGTGTCTTTATGTCGGACACCTGAGCTAATAAAAAAGGTTAACTGGATCCTTCTTAGCAGACATGGTTGTACAGGGGTACAGCTATCTAGTTTCCTCAGGATGATCAAAGCCGAGCGGGGACAGTGTGACCTGGAGGCTGTAGGGTTTGGGTTAACTATTTCATCACCAATGCTGACATTAATCTGACTCCATAGAATTTAAGGAGGCCTTCCAGCTGTTTGACCGAACAGGTGATGGAAAGATCCTGTACAGCCAGTGTGGAGATGTAATGAGGGCCCTGGGCCAGAACCCCACCAACGCCGAGGTGCTCAAGGTCCTGGGAAACCCCAAGAGTGATGGTGAGAGTCCTGAGAACAACAACTCAGTGTGGGAGGGCCCAGGTCTTCAGCTAAGAGCTTTCTTTTATCATAGGCTCATAAACTCAAGCAAGTCTTGTCTCAGCTAGCAATCTCATGGATTTGGGGTGGAAGGCTGACTATTCACCTGTTTTCTGTAATCCCCTCAGTCCTGAGAACACAAGTGACTTCCCTGGCCTAACATCCTGCCTGTCCACTTCCTTATGGCAGAAATGAATGTGAAGGTCCTGGATTTTGAGCACTTCCTGCCCATGCTGCAGACAGTGGCCAAGAACAAGGACCAGGGCACCTACGAGGACTATGTTGAAGGCCTTCGGGTGTTTGACAAGGAAGGGAACGGCACTGTCATGGGCGCTGAAATCCGGCATGTCCTTGTCACACTGGGTGAGACTTTGCTTTTGCTACTTTATGAGGCATCATCTTGATAGACCTGTCATCTAATTCCAAAAATGTTTTCCTTTGCAGGTGAGAAGATGACAGAGGAAGAAGTAGAGATGCTGGTGGCAGGACATGAGGACAGCAATGGTTGTATCAACTATGAAGGTAAGGGGCTAACTGGGGCTCTGGTGGAGGAAACAACTATGTAGGACAGGTCAAAGACAAGCATTTGGGGCTTTTCCCATCTCTGGACTTGAGCTCCAAAAGGAGCCAGGAGGCAAGGGGCAGGGCCCTAGCCCAGCCCAGGATTCGGGAGGTCAGGGAGTATGACAGAAAGGAAAGAGTAATGTGTGAAGGGTGGGGAAGGAATGGGAAGCAAAATAAATGGGATGTCTGTAACCCCACTGCCTGACCCCTTCACCCCATGTCTGTGTCGTGTCTTCACCATTAATGTCTCTTCCTTCCTGCAGCGTTTGTGAGGCATATCCTGTCGGGGTGACGGGCCCCGTGGGGCGGGTACGGCTCCTCCCAGCCTCTCTATCTAGTTGACCTTCCCAGTGTTTTTCTTCCCAACCTTTGCTCTCTAGTCTCTGCCCTTACCCTACTACCATCTGTCTTCCTCCTGGCATGTTTCTGCATGGAGCTGATGGGGGGGAGGAATTCCTCAAGAGGAAGACAGCTTGGGGGTATGGTACCTCCTTCCTTCTCTCCTAGAGTAGGGGGCATCTACGCTGGACCCAGGTTTTGCTTTTAGGGCCTTGGGTGCTGGTGTCTGGGAATTCTTACCAGCCTGTAATAGTTTTGCTTTAGGAAAGCCCTTTGGCCCCAAAACCTAGGAGGTTGGCACAAGGGAGTAGGTTGCCTGCCCTTTCTGCTGCTATAGCTAAATAGTCCTTTACCCTTCCTTCTGCTGGGTAAGCTTGGAGGTACCCTAACCCAATACTCTGTCCTTTCCTCCTGCCAGTGGCTGACAATAGCTGTAGGTGTAGTTGACAACTTTTCTGCCTCTGCTGTGTTCTTGCTGCTTTGGGTGGGGTGGGGGACTAACATCCTGTGGGAGGGGAGCTAGGGTCAGAGAGAACTGGTCAGACTCAAGGCTGGCTGCTGCAGGCAGAGTGCCTGTTAAGCTGCCTTTGTGTTCTTGTAGTTTCCTGACTCCTGGTGTACCCCCTCCCGACAGCCCTGCCTCTTGGCTCACACCATCTCATGTTTCCACAGAGCTCGTCCGAATGGTGCTGAATGGCTGAGGGCTGCCCTTCCTGTGTCCCCAGAGCCCTGTGCCTTCTCCTGTGCGAGACTGTATGTAGCCCTGAGAGCCGCCTAGGCTGTCACACACAGCTCCTTTCCCATCTTGTAGCTCTCGGATAATACTTGGCCAGCAGCATTCACCAAATAAACTTGCTGTCTATGCCCACATTTGGTCCTGTATTTCTTCATGAGCAGAGTGAAGGGGAATAAAATGAGCTGGTAATGGTTTCTGCCCTGAGTCAAGCCTCTAGGGCTGTGCATCAGGGATTAGAGAAAGGCTGATAAGAGCCTTTTTTTTTTTAATTTATTCCCCTCCCCCCTGATAAGAGCCATTTTGGCCTCACTCTTTCATACATGTTACAAAAGACTGCCCCTGGGAGGATAAGGAAAACCATAAATCCCTGTTCGGACCAAGGCTGCTAGTCTTTGTTCCATTCCATATCAGGTCATGTCTTCTAGTACTCCCATTTCCTTAAACCTAGTCTCCGCCCCTCCAAGCACAGAGGCCCTTTTGTGGGGAATTCTTGAGAGTCTACGGAAGCCAAAGCCAGGACCTATTAACCTTGCCTGAGTTAAGTCTATCACCTGGAGAGGCTGGTGACCAATAACAAAAGTAGGTGAGATGCCTCTGTCCCTCCTAATGAAGGAAAAAAATGAAGTTGTTACTTCTAGAAGCATAGATAGAATCTCCAGGTTTTGGATATGTCCACCCTAGGCATTAAACAGTTCTTTTTAGAATGGCTCCTGCACTAATGCATAGTATTCACTGCTGTGATGCTTTGCATCTCGTGTGGTGAGAGGGCCAGTGTGTAAGCTCTGTGCGGAGTGCCCTTGTGAGAGCCCACAGCCTGGCTCCCCCGCTTGATGTCTACAGGTAACAACACAGAAAGCATCCACAAGATGGAACTGAAAGCAAATTAATTTATAAAAAAAGAAAAAATTTACAGAAAATTTTGAACAGAAGGTGCCAAGACACAGGAAGAGAAACACTGGGACATGAGGAACAGAGGGATCTGTGGGAACAAGAACTGGGGTGTAGAGCCTGGAAACACATCTGCCTTCACAAGATGAAGAGGGGAGAGCTGGAACTGGGGGACAGGGTCACACCACAGGCTGAGGATGTGACTGGTGCCATCCTTTGCTAGAATTCTCCCTGCTGCCCCAGGTCCCAGTGTCTTCATCTAGAGATCACCCTTAGCTACTAGTCAAAGTTCTGATGCCTTGGTGGAAGAGGGAAAACGTTGAGGGGTTGACCAATGGGTCATTAGAAGAGCATACTTAAGTGTTTTGAAAATTTCAGGATTTATAAACATCTCTCTCTCTTAGTTTCCTCTTAATGTCTCCTAGAACCACTGATAGAGCATCAGGGAAGGAGAAAACAGCTTAGTGGCCTTTCTTCCTCTTACCTATGAGAGGAACCCCAAACACATTCTCCCCACCAAATTCACATAGATGCTGACAACGACTAAGCAGGTGGCTTAAAAACAAACACAAACTGACATTTAGAGGGGAAAAGACCAGGTCATTGGCTGAGTTGGGTGGGAGGCAACACTAAGGAAGCATGAAGAGATAGTACTGGAAGGGGTGGGTGTGGGGAGTTAGGGAGGTGACAGTGGCCAAGAAAGGGCTTGAGAGGGCAGATTCTGCACCTCACAGTATCCCTAATGCACTCCTGAGGCCTTAGTTCTCTTAAAATTACTACCACCCCTCAAGATAAGGTACATTATTTTTTAGTAGGTGAAGGGAATTCCAATGGTGTCATTTTTAATCTCTACTTTTTAGAGGACTTTTTTTTTTGCCTTTCCATCCATAAACAATGCAGTAGTTCTTTGGGGAGAGTGTCCCCTTAATTTGTATAAATACCTTCTTCCAGCAGGCCCTTTGAGGGCAGCATTCCCATCCTATTCTCTCTCCCAGACATTAGAAATAGCTGTTCAGCAGAAGTCCTTGAATAATCCAATATAAAGACACATGCCTTTGAGGCACCAGCAGGCATGATGGGGCTTTGGAGGGGCAGGAGCTTTCCTTATGTAGTGATGAACTCTCCAGGCTGGGGAGGGATCCCGGTAATAGGGGAGGGCTGTCCCTGGAACCTTGATCTCCATGAGGGAGGGGAGAGAGATGGCTGGCTGGCTCTTCACTGTGGAGGTGGCACAGGAGTGACTGTGCCGGGGCTTGGGGCTGTGGGGTCTGGAGGCAGCGGGGTGCCTGGGTCTGTGGAGAAATGGGAGACAAATTAGGTACTGGAGGAGGGAAGAGGGATTCAGGCCACCAGTCAACACAGAACTGGGCATGGCATGCAATGAGTGGCTCGATGAATGAGGTATCTACAAAGTACTTCCTCTTCCCTAAATCTTCCACTTTACACTGGGGAAAATCCATATATCCCTCATCACCCCCCTGCTCTGAGGGACCATTCTAAATATTTACAGGGTATACCCAGGTGGGGTGCTAGTGGGGTTTATGGCTGTGTCCACCGAAGGCATTTGAGTGTGACAGGAGCAAGCAAAGGAGATGCCAGTCATCATGCAAACAAGTAGCTAGTTTTCAAGTTTACAACTGAGATGCTTTGTGCCACAGGACTCCTCCATGACCCATCAGTGAAAGTGAAAGGCCCCAACGTCATCCCAGAGGTGGCAGCTGCCAGGCTGGGGGTGGTGGAGGATAGCCAGAGAGGCCCTTCCTCCTGTATTCTCATTTTACCAGAGTTCATAAAGGTTTGTGAAACTCCAGCACCTGACCTCTTCCCCACCTTCCCGCCATCCCTCTGGGTGGACCCCTCTCCCTCAAGCCCTTCTCCCCTCCTGAACCCTTCTCACCTGGCAGTGGGCTGGCACTGGGCAGGAGGTTGCCCTGAACAGCTGCCACAATGGCAGGGCTCTGGGCTGCGGCGGATCCGAGCCCCGGCCCGAGAGGCAAGGAGGATGGCATGGTGGTGGTCGCCGGCAGGTTAGGATGTAGAGGGTTTGCCATGGACACAGGCAGGTTAGGTGCGGGGAGAGTGCCCGGGGCGAACGGGAGATGGTGGTGATGCCCATGCAGGTTAGGAGGAGGGGGGAGGTTAATACTGATGGAGTCTGCTAGACTACCAAATGGGATGATGGATGGAGCAGGAGGAGGAGGAGGCGGCATGCCAAAAGGCAAACCCAAAGGAGCATTACCCGCCACGCCTGGGTGCCCGCTGCCTGGCACTGCCCCTGGCATCATTGAGGGAGGAGTTTGTTGGTTGGGAAACGGTGAGGGGCC